GTGACGCAGTGTCGCTAAACACAAAGACATTTAGAAAATGTAAACATTTCACATTACACAAAAGCACAAGAGAAAAACAATAGACTTCCTCTGTTAAACTCCCATCATGCATAGAGCTGACTAATGAGTGGTTGAGAAGTCAACTATACTGTTTTATGATTCAAAATGAAGATGTTAACCTTGACTCAACATTAAGCCTCCTTTTCAACCTCAAGATACTTCTTTGGACATTCTGCCACCAACTCCATATTACAACTGATATTTGAATGGACCCGAGCCAGTGGAGGAACAAACCACTCTGCACTTTTATTAAGACTGCCATTTAGTGACTTTAAGATGCAATTGACCTCTTTTTGTGTGTATGAATGGTATGTTGTACTGTGTATGGTGAGTGTTATTCCATCTTATTCCCTAGTGCCAAAGACACATTTTCATTGTGTGTAACTCCGGGCCGGTGGAATTGTATTATCACTGGCCCCACCATTGTAACCACTGGCCCGGAGCATTCGTCCAAAGAAAATCGACTAATAATGAAGAAAACGAACACATTTGTTGCAATAGTAATTTATGCACTAACTACACTGAACAAAAATATAAATGCAACACTTTTGTTTTTGCTCCCATTTTTCATGAGATGAACTCAAAGATCTAAAACATTTTCTATATACACAAAATAACAATTTCTCTCAAATATTGTTCAGAAATCTGAAAAAATCTGTGATAGTGAGCACTTCTCCTTTGCTGANCATTCGCCAAAATGTTTTTAATACCACCGGTAACCGGACAAACGCAGGGCAAAAAAAATCTTCAAATAAAAGAAAGTCACCGGAGGAGTTCAAGGAGAGTGACAGGGAGCATGAGAAGAAAAGGGAGAGAACGTTGCAGCCAGCTTGATCGATGGAGTTGGCTTCTAGTGGTGCAGTGACGCTTCCTAAAACCCTTCTATAATCTATCGATTAGATGTATGATTCGAAAATGATAAAAGTAGGGTAGACATGTGGAGATTATCCGGCTGAACAAAACGTGCATTTATCAAACAGGTTTGTTTTCCACAGACGTTATTTCCAGCTATTTTCCAAAACCCTGTGGAGAAATCCCATTGCTTTTTGTCGAGGGAACCAGCGGCTTACTTCCTGGTTTTAGGACGCGTCACTGCACCTCTCAATATGATGCCAATATAAACAAGGTCTTCTGTCGGCTCTGTACATCAATGCCGACCTATGCTGACAAGTAAGTGAAGAGAATATAAAGGTATTGGCTATAGGGAAATGTCCCAGCAGTTTAGGATAAGGAAGGTTCTAATCTAATCTATTACATAGCCATTACATTTCTAACTCCTGATAATGACAGGAAGGCAGAAAGCGCATTATACAAATAATAATAGTCATAATAATAGCAGACATTTTTTAACAATGACCACAATATAATTATTTTAATAAACCAAATATATAACAATTGAGGAAAATGAGGAAGAACTGATTATTCAAATGTTGTAGTAATGTAGTTAGTGCATAAATTACTATGGCAACAAATGTGTTAGTTTTCTTCATTATTAGTCGATTTTTTTTTGGACGAATGCTCCGGGCCAGTGGTTACAATGGTGGGGCCAGTGATAATACAATTCCTCCGGCCCGGAGGGCCAGTGGCATTTTACCCTTAATGTCTACCCCTGAACTGATCTTTTTAAGTTGATGAGTACTGCAGATATCACTGTTAAATCATTTGATCATTGGTTTTATTATGAAAACGTTGAGACCGGAAATACTGTTTTCAACNATATGAACGTTAGTTTTTTCCTGAAATTATCAAATAAAGTCAACATTTCAGTCTTTACTGAGCTGTGTGGAGTTTGTTCAACTTTTAAAAGATGTTTGATTCAAACATCTTTTAAAAGTTGAACAAACTCCACACAGCTCAGTAAAGACTGAAATGTTGACTTTATTTGATAATTTCAGGAAAAAACTAACGTTCATATTTCTCCTTTTTGATTATAATACTGATGAACGTTCAAAACAAAGCACTTTGGCAGCTTACCACATACGTTTTAAAATGCTTAATAAGAATAACGTTCATGATATAATTTCTCGGTCATAATCGGTTGTTTTCGTGAACGGCCGACTGTTGAGTGACGGCAAATGCTGCGGCTGCAATGCATTGTGGGGCAGCATTTTCTCCTGTCCTTTCGTCAAGGGAGGTCCAGTGGTTCCTAAGCTAAAGGAGGTTATAAAGGAAGTTTGAAACCTCCTTTCCTTTCATTTGGAGAATTGGAACGGCACTTAAAATGGCTGCCACTGACGTACTTCCAGGTCATTTCACTTGGTTAGCAAGGTTCCTAAGCTAAATGGACTATTGGAACGCAACCCTAGCTTCCAGCGGTCTTGTCATCATGGTGGGAGAGGTACCATTCCCATTCAGCCTGAACACAGGCTAACTGTGGCTCATCAGGCACCCCAAGCAAGAGCAGGGTGGAGGTTTGAAGTGTCCATACGTTTATTTTAGACTATGTTTGAAATTATTTATGCATGTTGGGTTCAGGTTCACTTTGGACTTGTTATTGTAGTCCTTCACATTAATTCTAGAGTGACACATCTCCAAAACCACCAAATCACATACACTATATGGTTCAACACACCAGCCTTAATGTGAGTGATTACGCTGAATATAAAACTATTTTCATTATACTAAAGTGTAGTCTGAATTTGATGACCATGATGACAAAAAAGAGAGCGGAAGGCTGCATTACTTTATCAATTTGTATTTTGGACGGAAAGCAGGAAGAAAAACAGAATATGGAGCCACAGATGGCTGAAGATAGAGACAGTATGGTCTGTTATGAGCTCCGTTTTATTTTTTATCACAGCACAGTCTCAGTCCAGACTACAGTTAGCTACCACATTTTCCTGGTGCAAAATCAGATCTGGAAATCATCCAGAAAGCTGTTTGACCGATCAATTCATCAGGTGCAAATCATATCGTGAAACATAATTATTAAATTATTCAACGATCAATTTATGGTTAGAATGTGTTTTATTCCATAGAGTGTGTATTCAGCATGCATCAAAGATATGGTCAGCTGATGGATAAACTCATGTTCATCAATAATAGCACCATTAAACAAACAAGATATTCAGCTGTTACTGTATGTATATTCTCATATTGTACATTCTCTCATTCAGGCTGTTCCGGTCTCTATGCTAAGCTAGGCTAACTGTCCTGTCTCCAGCTCGTGTGTCTCTGTCTTGTCTTCTACTTGTCAGTATACATTCTCATTGAAATGTCTAAAACAAAGCAAATAACAACAGTTCCCTAAACGTTGAACTGATTCTCAATGTATCTTCTGCATTGTGTGTTTTCTCTCCGCTGGGTTCTGTTCAATACCCCGGAGCGTTTTTATCCTGGTCCCTGCTGAATCTTTAACATGCTGCTTGGATTCATATTATGCTTAACCACAGAGTCTTTTCTGCCAAATACTGTATATGAATTATACATTCTCCTTTGATGTAAGCCGCTGTGACTGGACTGCAATTCCTAATCCATAACCTGCTCCATTTTTCAAATCTAAACCTTATTTTCTTTATTCTTTTGATTCTTTTTCTTCCATCATGAGTATTGATTATGTTCAAAATTTAATGTTTCACTTTACCAGCGAGTGTGATGTGGCTGCAGTTGACTGGAAACACTGAAATATACACCCAGAGGGGGAACCGCTCCAACAGCTGAATCCAAAAAACAATTTGAACCCTCTGTCTCACACACACACACACACACACACACCCTCACGCTGCAGAGAATCTGAATGCTTACATCTCTTCTCCTTTTTACCACTGCCTAAAAAAGTGTATCAACAGGAGGAGACACAGGGAGGAGATATTGCAGAGTTTCAGCTCCCATGTGGCCATACATGTAGGAAGTGTGACCAAACAGGCAGTAAACATAATCCAGCAAGTGTGGCAGCTCAAATATTAAACATGGAACTTATAATTGCCTCTCTCTTGCTGCAGATTGTTCTCCCTGTGCTTTCACTGTCTACTGACTCACAGTAGCTTCAAAGAAAAAATTATTAATGCATTTTAAACAAAATGGTTGAAAAAAAGAAAACCCAGTTCTAAAATGTGCTGCATTACATGTTGAATTTGTGTAAAATATGCAATATGCATTTAAATGTTCTCAGTTACTGCAGAGTCTACGCACAGAGGACTGCCCACAGACAGTCTCTACCACTGCTACTGACATATCTAATATACATAACAATCAAATGATCATGGTTCAATTTGCTGTAAAGAGTGGGCTGTTTCTATGGATCCATGTGATGATGTGGCATCATTCTGTATTATACATGATCAACTATCTGCAGCACTGGCATTAGCATCTGTGGGGTAATGATGGCAAATTCAACGCAGTGGTTTTATAGGTTTTACTATCTCAAATTCAACTATTAGCCTAATATACATCGAGTCTCTCGAGAAAAACGTCAGTCTTCAGGCATTACAATCAGGTGCAAAACATCCATCAACTGACCTCCAAGCCCGAAATGTCAGCCTTACAACATAAAGGACACCCTACTTCCTGCACTAAACAACATTGTGAAGTGCAGAAAAGAGAACCGACTGTCAGTTAGACCTTGCGGGTTGTGAAGTATGGATTAGGAGTGAAGTATGGATTTACTTTCCCATGTAAAGAACAACACCACCAGGTAGCCGGTAGTTTCTAGCTTCCCCACCGCCCTGAAACGCCTTCAATGAAGCTTAGCGTAAATTCTTTCAGGAAGACTGGTATACTTCAGTCCGCAGCTGCTTCTAATCAGCTCATCACGGGCGTTCTCTTAAACCTATTACATTCACCTCATTCTCCAGCAGCCAATCACCGTGCTGCAGCCAAACTTTAAAGTGGTTCTCCTCTCTCCTGCAGTCAGCTGTGATTTCAGGTCGTCATGCTGCCGCCATACCAGTTCCAGATCCTCGTAGCAGATATCAAGTCTCGTCCAGCCCTCGCAGCACCATTCAAAACCCAAGCGTGCAGTTAAACCGGGTCACCATAAAGCTCTGATGCTCAATAACGTCCATGCGCAGCCAGCGCGGCTCTGGAAAATAATGGGGAAAAGATACGATAAGATCATCTCTAAGCCTTAGCAAACCTCTCAAGAGCGAGAGGAGAAGACCTCCATCGGCAGAAACACGGGTACAGTCCGGCCGTCTCGGTAGGGGTGGGCGATATTGAAAAATATATTATCACGATATTTTTCATGTCGGTTATTATGGTTATTTTTCAAGGTAACAGAAACTAAAACAAAAAGGAGTAACAGACCAAAATAGCATTTCAAGCTGGTTTTATTTCTCAAATGAATCCCTGAATGAACAATTCAACATTTTGATATGGCTTCAAGGCACAGTTTCTCAGTATAAAAATGAACTTTCTGAGGTAGCAATAGCAGTGAACATCAATAAACATGAAAAGGAGGGTAAAACATAACTAAAACATAAAACATCAATG